TTGTTTTTTCCAAGAAAGAAAGGTGAAAAAACGTATTCCGTTGTTCAGTTTCCTCCCTGAACGATCGTGTGACCTGCTATGGCAGTTGAACTGAACAACCATATCAACGTTTATTAAAATCTCGACAGAAAATCCAAACACAGCCTCCAACACATGCATTTAAATACAGCGGTATTGGGCGCGATCCTGTAAATATGGCGGCGGACCCATAATGCAACACGGCGTGACGTCATCTCCACATTCCCTATGGACAATTTCGTTTCCAACCAGTAGGGCGACCCAGTGGTGGCCTTAAGCATCTGGGGGCCCGTTTCAATAACTAATATGGGGCCCTACCCACATAAAACATAAACATAGAGCAGAAAAGGCAAGGATTCCTGTTGGTTTGCATCAATTGTATATTATTTTATTACGTGCACTTTCAGCTTCATGAACAGGCAGCTCAACATATAAATAATCCAACCTTATTTGATTAAAACTATATACAATTATACCGAGTTTTACGTTGGAATAAGCCTCGCCCTTAAATTACTATTATTTGAAGTTAACATTATACAATATACTTAGACCTACTACATCACAAAACTAGTTGAGGATAAATTCTTTAAAATTGTGGAATCCGTTACGGACGTGAGCGCTCTGAAAGCAAAGCGGCACCAAAAGACTGCTTTAAAACTTTCACAGAGACCTCAAACAGAAAGCACAAAGCCTTTCTTTAAAGGTAATTTCGTTCTGTTTTAATTGTATCTTAATTTTAATCAATGTTTCGTCAACCAATTGCCTGGATTTAATAAATAAGAAGTAAATTTAGCAGATATAGGCTAATTACGAAACGGAGGCGCCGGCGCGTGAACTGGAGCGCGTCTCATAGATTAGCCGAAACTCAGCCTACTTGCCCCACAGACCTGAGAAATATATCTAAAATGTCTACTTCTAAAAAAAACATTTAAAAACGAAAGAAAACAGACTGCTCTCTGTTTATGTAATCCGTATGAAATGTGCATTTCTCTCTGGCGCGTTCACTACTGCAAAGATCGCGATCAGCATCGTCATCTTCATCTTTGCAGGTGACAGTGACACAGAAAACACTTGTTTATAAACAATTAAATTGTCTCCTTGCTATAGGCCTATTCGACATATTCATAATCATTACTTTTGCCGGTTCTTTGTGACAACATTTAGGTGCTTTATTGGCAGCGCCACCCTTACATGTTACATGAACGCGTCACCAGCATCAGCACCGAAAACATGGGGATTTTTTACAATAAATTACAAGCTGCTAGTGACGCTGTTTAGTTAATCGCCTGTCGCGAGTGCAAATGCAAAGTTACAAAGCTGATTTAATCATGGTAAAACTGAATTAATTTACTAAATAGTTTTCATTTGTATTTCAGCACTTCGTGAATGGACAGAGACTCTTAAAGTAGCACGTATAACGTGTTCTCGCGCGTTCATGTTAAGTGCATTTTTGGGAAATGCTCGTGGAATTGCAGAGAGCGTTTGTAACCTTGCACGCAGAGAGTGCTCTTAAGAGCGAATATACATCGTTATCGGGAAACCCGGCCCAGAAACTTTCGTTTCACAACTTCGTAGCTCGTGGTCAATCTACATTGGATGGTTTAGACATGGCTGAAAATCAATATCCTACAGAGAAAATGAATGGGGTTTTGCTGGTCTGTTGGGGGCCCCCTTGGAGGGCAGGGCCCGTTTCAATTGAAATGTGTGAAACATAGGTAAGGCCGCCAGTGGGGCGACCAAAGAGGAAAAGTTACTTGGTGTTACTTTAACAAATAAAATTAGTATCAATAGGCACTTTTTGTTTACATAAACATTAAATAATAACATTTAAAATGATGGCCAGATTTCAAAAGAGTGTCTTGCACCATGTAATCAACTAACATGTAGGTACAAGTTCAAATAAAGTTTTGACAAAAAAGGTTTTATAAAAAGATAAACCTCACATATTTCAGCATTTAAATATTTTTTTTTATAAAAAGAATGAGTCAAAAAAAGATAAATTACTGACATTTATAATGCACATTAGCTTATCTTTTAGTACAATTCAGTCCGATTTTCCCGTGGCATCTGTCGTTGCTATGCAACCATGCACTGTACTCTACTACACAACGCAGATAAGTTTTAGTAGCTAATGGATTTCCACCACCGAAAAACGCTTGCTGTAGCTCTGCTACAAGATTTATTTACAGAGAAGAGAAAAACACCAGTAGTGTTTGCCCCCATCCTTCATGTTGACTGAGCTTTCAATGTTGTTACGGAAAGGGTGAAGCTGATTATGGTTCTTGTCACATGAACTGCGGTTCGTTTGCAGCATTCTAGAAAGTAACGTTAGAGACTTTTTCATTTTACTGCACCTGGAAAAAATTATGCTTCAATTATGAGCACGCCGTGCAAAAGACGCGATATGTAAACGGTCCCTTGGCGAGCTACCTCCAATCAAGCCACGAGCTGGTAGCTCGCGAGCGACGTGTTGGAGACATACAGTAAAAGGGTTGGAGACAACTGCTTCGCGGCGCAGAGTTTTTTTTTTAACTGCTCGTGCCGCCCCCCATGTGTCATGAAAAAATGCCGCCCCGGGGGGCTGCCCGGTTCGCCCGTGCCCAGAACCGCCATTGGCTGTCAATCAAGCTGTCAATCAAAGTTAACCACGCCCTTATTTGTCATACATTTTATATCCAAATACGATCTAAACTAACGAGTTAGAAAAAAATCCACCCCCTCACAGTTGTCAGACATTTGGAACCTATCGAAAAATACAATAAAAGTCCATGGGACCAACCTGTAAAAACATGAATTTATGCTGTGAAAACGGACATTTTAACATGGGGGTCTATGGACATTTGCTCTCTTTTGGGACCGGCCCCTAGAGGATTTTAGATGTATTGCAGTTTTTCGCACTTCCGGGTAGGCTTTATTTTTCAAATTAGAATGTTGCCGCTTGGTTGTGATTCGCTAATCGCCTAGTGCACGTTTCTCGGAAACATCACGCCCCTTACCTTTACCGGCAGTTTGGGCTTTGATGTATTATAAACAGTGTAACCATAAATATAAATATAACAATATAAAACCATGACAATAAAACCATAACAATTTGAGCCCGAATCAGACCTGGAGAATGTTAGTGAAGATGATCGAGCAGAACCTGTTCAAGAACGACTGTTAAACAACGTTTCAGAATGGTTTGTTTTTCGTTGTCGTCATACTTTTTAGATACGCTGTTATGACTGACTGTATGACACCGTTACTTTTTTATTTTTAGAACGATTGTAGCCTAATATATGTCGCCAGAACTATTAACTATTAATTATCAAAACGAACACAGAACATTGGCTTTACTACAGTAGCCAAATCAAACACAGAACCATGTTTAGCATGCCTGTAGATAAATACATAAAAGCTCTAACTTTAATCAAAGAATAATTTACACTAATTCCAAGTTTGCTGTTGAGATTAAAATAAATTTGTAACGTTAGGTGTTTGTTGGATAACGTTAAGTATGAATGAGTTTTAACAAACTGGTTTGCAGAGCCAAACAGCGTTGTAAGTTTGTTTACGTCCTTACAACGTACAAAAACAATACAAACTATTACAGGAAAACACTTAGACGAAAAATAAATCATACTTACAGGCTGTGGCCCGCAAACAACAGCTTTATGGCGTTATTTCCCTGTCAAATGACGAGAGCGCATTATTGTAGCGCGGAAGTAAATTAATATAATGCGCGAGCGCGAATCTTTCTGCTCGCGCGCGGGAACTGGGCGCGCGCTCTCAGATACACGCTGCTTTTGTAAGAATTTTCTCTGGGCTCACTCATAGAATATGCCTGCACTTAAAACGTGTTCAGTGCAATCGCGAATCTCTCCTCTTTGCTTAAAGTAAGCCTTGTATGTGCTTAGACTGTGTTCCGTGCGTTCAGCATGCCTAATTACTCTTCTCTTCGATTTCTTTCTCTTTGCTCTTGGCATAAACGCTGTCAAAACGGCAACAACCAATCAGAAATCGCTATTCCATATGTTATGTAGTTTTTTCTTCTTCTTTTTTTCTGTTCTGTAAAGCACTTTGGCCAGCCAGTGGCTGTTGTAAAAATTAGATATATAAATTAAATGAACTTGTCTTTAACTTAATGTCATTGGTTGTTTTTGGTCATGTTAATCCTTGTCCGACATTCAGAAATAATGTTTTTATAACTTAATGGGAACGTCATGGAAACGTTCTTATAACCTAAAATTGTTAGCTGGGGAAGAGGAGAGATTCGCGATTGCACGTTTTAAGTGCAGGCATATTCTCTGAGCGAGCCCAGAGAGAGAATTCTTACAAGAGAAGTGTATCTGAGATCGTGCGCAGGAGATTCGCGCTCGGCACATTATATTCCGCGCGTGCGCAGAGAGATTCGCGCTCGGCACATTATATTCTGCGTGCCACTTGTTTTTAGAGATAAAACTCTTTACATTCGATGATCATGAAAACAAATCTCAGAGAACGGTTGACTATGTCCCAATAGCCGCGTTTCCACTGTCACTTCCGGGTCTTGATCGGGGCTTACTCTGGGCCATCGGCCAGGATTTCTGGCCCATCGAATACCTTGGGCCAAAGCGGGCCAGCTCGGGCTAGAGGCGTGCTCAAGGTAAAAGGCGGAGTTTATCGGTTATGGAACGTTATGATCTGAAGCAAGATGCACATTTCACTTTTTTATATCGCGCAAAATAATCGCTGGTCGAAATGGAGAATCGCCTGTACTGGTCTGTCGAAGATACCAAAGCTCTTCTGAGCATTTGGGCAGAAGAAAGGGTACAACGTAAATTTGACGGTGTGTGAAGAAACGAGGACGTTATAAAATACATCAATGCTGAACTTTCTAAGCTTAGCATTCAGGGAAAAAAAAGAAAAAAAGTTGCGGGCGCAGTATTGTACAAGGCGATTAAAACGCACAATGGACAAAGCGGAGCTCAGCTCAGAGAAGGAACTTTCCATGGTTCGACTTGATGGACGGTGTGCTGGGTCACCGTCCCTCTGTTAGTGGCGACTCGCGAGACAATCTGGACACTATTGCAGCCACGGCCGGTGAGTTAATATACATGCTATCTTCCTAACTTAAAAAATAAATAAATTCATAATACCCGCTGAAATGGGTTGGGTTGTATGACGTTTGATCCAGAAAGGCATGTTAGGGGCGGGGTTTAGGGCAGCACCGTGGGGCTACTGGCCCGGCAGTGGAAACGCAAGCCCGGTGCTTGAGGCCCGAGGCCACTGGCTCGGCTCGGCTCGCTGTTAGCTCTGGCCCGGCCCTAGCCCGGCAGTGGAAACGCAGCTAATGTGTAATTAGACCAAAGGTTCATTTTGCGCTGGAGTTGTCCTTTAAAGATGATGGAGTAGTATGTCCCAAAGCTTGCCTACTCTTTTGCTACACACTCAAAAGTATGTATCATCCTCAGGTAAGGTGCTCGTCACTTGTCTTCAACAGCAGGATAACTGGGCAAAATATAACTTTAGCGAACTTACAGTCAGGGTGGCCTGTGGGCCAGAACGCGTCAGATAAGACAGGACAGTGTAATGATATCAGTTTATGTTGTTACCTGAGACAACCACTAGAGGTGTGCTAGGTGATGGGTTGTAACAGGACTTATTGGAGACGGAAGAGACCGGCACATGTGGAAATAAAGAGATACTTGTAATTACTGCACTGCAGATTGTTTAATAAAGAAAGTATAAGACAGGACAGGACAATCGGAAGACCGATCAGTCACGTACGTAATCACTGATAATAATCCGACAAAGGAAAAGAGAGATGGGGAACCAGAAGTAGGAAAGCTTATCAGAAGCAAAGAGGTAGCAGGTGAGAAGGAGAAGATTGCTTTAGTGGTAATAGGGCTTGGGCGTCGTGACGTCATACTTGGCGTGGCGGCCATTTTGACAGCTATGCGAATGTAAATTGAAAGATGAATCTTTTCATTCATCATCTTTGTCTTTGTACTGGTGCAGATTATTAGTAATTGCACTGTGACGGTTCAATGAGTGTTTGTGCAGTGTATTGAAATCAATTGTGTATTATTAATTTCAGTGAAGCTTCATCAAACCAATATCAGGTGATTTTAAAGCTTTAATCTCTGAAAAACTCTGTTCTTCAGGAGCGTTTGGTGTTACACTGAAGTCAGTGTCAGTGATGGAGGGAGATTCAGTCTCTCTAAACTCTGACACTGAAATGAAGGATGATGATGTGATTCAATGGAGGTTTGGAGATGAAAACATAATAGCTGAAATCAATAAACGGTTCGACAGAATCACTGTATATGATGATGTTCTTGATGGGAGATTCAGAGACAGACTGAAGCTGGACAATCAAAGTGGATCTCTGACCATCACAAACACCACAACTGAACATGATGGATATTATGAACGACAGATCAACAGTGAGATCAGAGGGAGATTCAGGCTCTTTGTTTTTGGTGAGTTAAATATCAGTTTCACCTGTTTTATATTTTAATCCACACAAAGATACAATTATTAATCCAAACTCCATTTTTCTTCTGTTGTGTAATGATAATATTCATTTAAAATTTAAATTTCAAACTATTTACTTTTATAAACCATCAAGTGACCGTCTTAATCTGTGTGTGTGTGTGTGTGTTTGGTGATTCAGAACTGAAGTCAGTGATGGAGGGAGATTCAGTCTCTCTAAACTCTGACACTGAAATGAAGGATGATGATGTGATTCAGTGGAGGTTTGGATATGGAAACACATTAATAGCTGGAATCAATAAACAGTTCGACAGAATCACTGTATATGATGATGTTCTTGATGGGAGATTCAGAGACAGACTGAAGCTGGACAAACAAACTGGATCTCTGACCATCACAAACACCACAACTGAACATGAAGGATATTATAAACTACTGATCAACCGTGTGAGAAAGAGTTTCATTCTCGCTGTCACTGGTGAGTTCATCGTTTGCACCTGTTTTATAATGAAAAAAATCGAATGAATTCATACACGATTTTGTTGTTGTTATTTTATATTGGGGTTTTTATGTCAATTTTAAACTATTAAATTTAGTAAACCATTATAAAGTGATTCAACAGTATTAATCTCTGACAAACCCTGTTTCTGTTTGTTCTCTGTGTGTTTGACAGATGAAGTGAAGTCAGTGTCAGTGATGGAGGGAGATTCAGTCTCTCTAAACTCTGATCTCACTGAAATAAAGGATGATGATGAGATTCAGTGGAGGTTTGGAGATAAAAACACTTTAATAGCAGAAATCAATAAACAGTTCGACAGAATCACTGTATATGATGATGTTCTTGATGGGAGATTCAGAGACAGACTGAAGCTGGACAATCAAACTGGATCTCTGACCATCACACACACCACAACTGAACATGCTGGAGGTTATAAACTACTGAAGTTTACAGGAAGATTTTTCTCATCAAAATCATTCAGAGTTTCTGTCTATAGTGAGTAGAGATCATTTTTCTTCTCCTTCAAATATTATTATTTACTATTTAGTATTTACATATTGAATTGTTGAATCATTTTATAGTTTTAAATGACCACCCGTATAAAAACTCACTTACGTAGAACTGATATTAAGATTGTTGATTATTTGATCATATTTCTGTGTATTCAGAAATATTAGTTGATGTCAGCGTTGATATTAGTGTTTATTGACTGATCTGATCTCAGTTTGATGTGTTTATTCCTCAGACTCTGTCCACTGTTGTGGTACTGAAGCTGTGATCCGATTGGTCCTCTCTGCTCTGGTGGGCGTGGCTACTGTCATCATTCTGGTTTATGACATCAGATCCAGAAGAGCTGAAGGAGATTAAGCCAAGGGGGTAATCTACCAGTCATAAACTGAAGTCTCCCTGGGGGCCGCCATTGGCTAACAAGCCTTCACCTGCTGTTAGCATCCCATTGACTCCCATTCATTTTGGCGTCACTTTGACAGCGAATAACTTTACATCTGAGGCGTTTAAAGACTCCATTTGTCCATTATTTATTTCTAAAGAAACACGTCGATGTATAAAAGGCTCCATTACCTTGTATCTTATGTTATGGCCCTGTAGAATAAGTTTTTTTGTAAAAATAGGCTAACGATTGTGTCATAACCACGGGACCTCCATGTCGAACAGTAGAGAAGTTACCATAAAGAGAGGCATAAAGTCAAGGGAGAAGCCAATAGAAAGTCATAAAGTTGCCTCAGCTGCTAGCTCATGGACAGCTAATACTCACGATCTCCGGCTCTGCAAGATTCGGAAGGGAATGATTCAGATTCCTCTTGGCTCAGCTAGAAGACGTACAACTGTCAGCCAGGTTGCTCACATGACATCTACGTCGTCAAGCTCAGTTTGAGCATGCGCAGTGCGCTTGGCAATCAGGAAGTGCTTCTATTTGACTTCAGTTTTCTCCGTTGAAATCTATGGGGTCGCTGTGTCCATTTCTTTTACTGTCTATGGATCAAGCACATATTCACACATCAGGTGCATGATTGATGATGTCATTTCTCACAAACTCAATTTGCATATATTAATATTTGTGAGATTTATTAATTTACAGCTTTATATGTTCATCTTTTTCAAGAAGTATCGAAATCTAAAGCAGAACGCTTGAACTTTAAAGGTTCTTTAAGTGTGATTTTGTTCTTCTAGTGGTTTTTTTTTTGTTTATATTTCTCTCAGATACAAAAGAAAAACGAATAAAGAGACACATCTCACTTTACTACTGCTGTATATCCAGGGCCGGCCCGAGGCATAAGGGGGCCAGGGGGCCCCCCAATCGAGTTTTAAAAAAATAATCTTTTTTTTTTTTAGATGACTTAAACAAGTGACATAAACGAATGAATGAATGAATGAATGAATATGACTGACTGAATGAATGATTCAAGACAAGAAAATTCTGATTTCATGATCAATATACCTACAACTGCTGCTCATGCGCATTATCTATTCTAGACACCTCGCGCGTGCATAGACAATTCGTATTGGTTTAAGTCACAGTATTGGTTTAAGTTGGAGAAAACAGGCGCAGGGGAACTTAAGCTTCTAGGTTTAAAGGTAGCAGTTTGAATAAATAATAAACATAGCAGTTTGAACTCTTCTCCACTTTATAATACCACATATCAGATCAATAACTCCCAAAACCCGCGACACTCCAGCACCAAGTGCGCACGACCCATTCCTATCTACGGCAAGCCCCGAGGGGAAAAATACATTGCATACACCCATACAACGAGCGCCAGTACATCATTACCGGTATTATAGTAACAGACTTTGTTGGATTCTGTCATGTACAATCCAACAAAGTCTGTTACAATAATAATAATAAAAAAGATTTTGAGGACAGTTACACTGTATTGAGACAGTTGAGAAATAATAATATTTTTACAGTTTTCAACAATAATTGTCATTGTTGAACCCTTGCTCTTATTATGTTTCTGATTTCTCAGTTTTGTCATTATTTTAGCAAATAATTATTTTGAAATGTTTTAGACAGTTTGTTTTAAGAAGTTTCAAAGAGTTAGTAAAAGAGTAAAGTAAAAGTTAAAACTTTTTTATTTAAGTAGGCATCTATTTTTTATTAAGTATTGTATTAATACATAACCTCACTGTATATTCATTTATAATGTATCATTATTGCGTAACATTTATGTCAATAATCGCCAAGTAGAGGTAACTTCACGTAGTGGGAGGGGGCCCCCAATTCAAATTCTGCTTAGGGCCCCCAAAAGGCTCGGGCCGGCTCTGTGTATATCTGTCATATGTATTTTCTTGCCTTTATCAATAAAGTTTCTCACTCTGAGGTTCAAGAGTCTCTCATGATTTATTCTGAGGAATACAAACTTTATGTAGCCTATATTTTAAATGTTTCAGCAGTGTACCATATACAGCTTTATTTGTACTTTTTTTCACAGGTGCTTCTTATAGGCTATCTGTAAAAACATTATTTATTTATTTTTAATATTACCAATACGTTTTTTTTTTTTTTGCAATATATTCCGGTTTACACAACATATGCAGCTAAAATATTATTATTATTTTTTTTAACTCTGTTACATGTTCTAGTTGCAGATATACTGCAAGAAAAAAAATATATAACACCGTGTAAAGTTCGTGTTACTGATCACATGCATCATCACATATATTTTTCTTGTTATTATCACGTCAAGGATCTCACAATACATTTTAATAAAAAACAAAAGATAATTTACATACAGGAGTACATATAACCATACATGTCAGGGGGGAAATGGAAAAAAGAAAGAAAAAGAAAGACATTTTACAGAGAAAAAAAAAACATTTTAAACAGCTCTGGAAAACTACATACACTACAAGCATTACCTTGCTTTTAAGTTTTTACATTAGGATATTTTTTCTAAATATATTTTAATATCAATTTTAAATTGTTCAAAATTTGACATTTTTTCATTCCATTTGACTTTATAAATTTAGTAACGGGCAATCATAATAATTCAATCAAATATAAACAAAATATTTTTATTATGAGCCGTTTCATTTTGAATATCATGTTAGAGGTCTTAAAATCCAGAACATTCAATGCACCTTCAATTTTTGACCAACAAATATAGTGTGATTTGTTCTTCCAAATAAATGTCAAAAATTTGGTGTCTATTATCTACACTTGATAAACCCTCAGCTTTAACCTACACTGTAAAAAATAATCCTGTAAAAAAACGGTAAACTACTGGCAGCTGTGGTTGCCAGCATCATACCGTAACTAAACGGTGTGTTACTGTTTTTGTGTTAGAGCATATAGCTGTTAAATTAAAGTTTTATACTGTAGCTGACAATACGGTATTTAGCTGTTAATTTCAAAAACAGTAACACACCGTATTTTTACGGTATGATGCTGACAACCACAGCTGCCAGTAGTTTACCGTTTTTTTACAGGATTATTTTTTACAGTGTATAACACACGGCCAGATAAAGCGATATCTCATCATTAGCCAAGAATTCGGTTTCTTTTCAAATAACTGAATGATAGGAGTAAAGTTTAACTCATACTCAGTCCTATTGAAACAAAAGTTGTGTAGGCTATGTAAACGTAGCCTATCGGTCCTCCAACAAATTGTATTTTCTAATGTCGTACGTTGAATAATTTTTGCCGTAACTTTCTATGTTACGCCCTACTTTCTAAAATTACGCCCGTTTCACGCCGTGCGCAAGCATGAGTTGCAAAAGACTTTTGTTAAAGCAACACCAAGTAACTTTTCCTCTGCGGTCGCCCTACTGGTTGGGGGCCGAATTGTCCATTACTGCTTTCGTAAATAATGTAGCCAACCGCAGCCTACTGTCGCACGCACGCTCGCTGTTTATCCAGCACCGGCTTTGGAATGAACAATGTCCACAGACAAGGTAGAGTATGTTGCATGATTTCATGACAGTATGATGTATTGCGACATCAGAAACGAAGAAAAACAAAATAATGACTATTGTAACGCTTGACGTAAAGCAGTCGAATTTTGTAGTTCTTTTTGTGCTCGGGTTACTACCCGAAAGCCGAAGTTCTGTAGTGCCAGTAAAAGCGATACAGACCCCGTCAGGCTATGGCAGACGTGTCATTTAACCTATTGTAACTTAAGTCGATGTACCATCACAAGGGTCTTGGAAATATACAACGCATTCTCATCCCAAAGCGTAATATATTGACTCTTTTGCCAAAGCGTCTATATCCAACGCATATGGCACCCTTTAGCGTCAATATAACACGCTTTGGTTTTGGGTAGGTTTAGGTCTGGGGTAGTGTTAGGGTTAGACCACTAGGAGGCGCCATATATCTGCGTCTCATATGACGCTAAAGGGTGCCATGTGCATTAGATATAGACGCTTTGGCAAAAGAGTCAGTATATTACGCCTTGGGATGAGAACGGGCTCAAATATATTATGAAGGTTGAAAAGCTACATAGTGTTACTTTAAATTTGTTTTTAGAGATTGGTTATACACTTGATAGACTTGTTCAAAGCTCAAAAACGTTTAATGGGTAGAGTAGCTAAATTTTCAAAAAGAAATTTGAGTCTTCATTTTCTTTTCTGACATACTGCAGTTCTTGTTAAAACCAGTGTTGGGGGTAACTCATTACAAGTAACTTGAGTTACGTAATCAGATTACTTTTTCAAGTAACTAGTAAAGTAACGCATTGTCCTTCGGATGAGACGTTAAACCGAGGCCCTGACTCTCTGTGGTCATTAAAAATCCCATGGCACTTCTCGTAAAGAGTAGGGGTATTACCCCGGTGTCCTGGCCACATTCCACCCATTGGCCCCTGCCAATCATGGCCTCCTAATAATCCCCATCCACTGAATTGGCTCTATCACTCTCTCTCCTCTCCAACTATAGCTGGTGTGTGGTGAGCGCACTGGCGCCGTTGTACTGTGGCTGCCGTCGCATCATCCAAGTGGATGCTGCACACTGGTGCTGGTTGAGGAGAGACCCCCTGATATGATTGTAAAGCGCTTTGGGTGTACAGTAGTACATTTGAAAGCGCTATATAAATGCCTCATTCATTCATTCATTCATTCATTACTTTTAAAATTTACAACAAAATATCTGAGTTACTTTTTCTAATAAGTAAACAAGCTACTTTGTTTTCCCCTTTATTGACTGACTGCTCTTCTGTCCCAATGTTGAGACAAATCGAAGTGCAGAGGCGTTGTGTGTAAACATGATGGTTATTATAGTTCTAGATTAAATGTAAGCGTGGATTTACTCATCTCACTTGCACAAAAAAGATTCAATATTCCTCAAAATGAATAAAATCAGTGAAATGCAGAATCAGAACACTATGCAAACCTCCAATACCTAAATATGTTAAATAAAACATAAAATGTTATGCATTTAATCTTTATGACCTCCGATTTTTCAGTTAAACCATAAGCAAAAATGACTATAGATTTTTTTATGTTTTTATTGGTAAAGTAAGTGTTACATTTGTTTCTCCTGCATCCTCTTCTTCTGTTACCCAGAACAGCAGCAGCTGAAAGGTTTGTTTGAGCGGCGCCCTCTACTGAACACTACTGTACTCTACTGTACAGGAGTAAATCTGCATTTCCTTCAGTCTGAGGCTTATTATTTCACTTTTGGTGTGAAAGGGTCTTTGCATTTGCCCAAAAATATATCTTTTTTGTTATAAAAAAACAAGCCCAGCCCAGGTGGAAAAAAAGTAACGCAAAAGTAACGTAACACATTACTTTTCTAAAAAAGTAACTAAGTAACGCAATAAGTTACTTTTTAAGGGAGTAACGCAATATTGTAACGCATTACTTTTCAAAGTAACTTTCCCCAACACTGGTTAAAACACACTAGACATGCAAATTCTGTGCGTTTTGTGCACTTTTTGTGTGAAATCATATTAATTTTGTCCATCAAAAGTGTTCTTTCAATGTCATTGAGCGTGAGCAGCGCAGCAAAAATAGACTCCCAAATCTAAAAGGTCCTAAAAGGGAGCGAATGTCCATAGACCCCATGTTAAAATGTCAGTTTTCACAGCTTAAATTCATGTTTTTACAGGTTGGTCCCATGGACTTTTATTGTATTTTTCGATAGGCTGACAACTGTGAGGGGGGTGGATTTTTTTCTAACTCGTTAGTTTAGACCGTATTTAGATATAACATGTATGACAAATAAGGGCGTGGTTAACTTTGATTGACAACTTGATTGACAGCTGATAATGGGCTGTGCCGAGGGGAATTCCTGAAATTTGACGTCTCGGCCATGATCTGACACAACACATCATACCACCTCTGTATCCTTTCTGAACATTTGTGTTGAAATACCGTACATAAAATGGGTTGCTCTGCTATAAACTGCACTAACCGACACTGTAGGATTAACTTCGCTCCATTTTTTCCGGTAAGTGACATTCAACTATTATTTCACGTAGTTAGCACTATTTAGCATCAATGTTTGTGGGCAGTGGCACTGCAACAGTTAGCATTAAAGGGCACCTATTATGGAATTTTGAAAATTACCTTTCATGTAGTGTTTGCAATGACTAAATATTTGTGAGCATATTGAGTTTTTTTAATATTCAGGCCAGTGTTTATTTAAATACTGTGATATTTGAGATGCTCTCTGTAAATTTACTGTGAAAACATGCACTCCGTATTAGAAAATATAAAATGCGTTTTATCGACTAATAAAACTTTATTGTAAAAATGGCAATTAATACAAACTTTTTTTTTTTTTTTTTTTTAAATGCTAATATTCTTGCTTGGGCTTATTAAGAAAAAATATTCTACATAAGTCAAAAAAATCTACAACATTAAATTATGGCGTGATTTATAAATCCAGTCAACATTCAGAATGGCTAATGTTGACTGGACTAATAAACACAAATCCAGCTAATATTTGATAGTATCAAGACCACATGGTCTTATCCAGTTACTTATTAAAAACATAGATTTTCTAAAAATGAACATAACTGCTTCAAAATGGGTGTCATTTACATAATACAAAACGTCAAAGTATCGCCAAGTTATGTTTACCACAGGCTTTATTTTACTCATAAATTGAAAGAGCGAACCACTTTTTCAGTTTTAAATATTTATAATGGTTATAAGGGCTTGTTTATTCAATAAACGTGTTTAAATTGTATTTTGCAGTTGTATTGCAAATTTAAAGTTTGTCTACTGGAGCACCTTATGGATTGTTATGAAATAAAGGCTAATGTGTGTTTTCATTTGTGTGTTTTTTAATGTGATTCAGACACCAGTTAACAATTTTGTGAACCTCTGTATAAAATCAATTATAATTAATATAATAACAAATTTTGCAGCAATTTCTAGTTATGATTCCCAAATAATACATTTTGCACAAAAGTAGATATTTTGAAGGATGTTGGTAACCAGACTTCCCCCCATTGACCTCAATAGTATTTTTTTCCCCTACTATGGAAGTCAATGGGGTCCATCAACTGTCTGGTTACCAAAATGCTTCAAAATATCTTCTTTAGCGTTAAACTGAAGAAATACTTTTTTTTTTTTTTGGTGAACTGTCCCTTTAAGGGTTTCTTTAAAAACATATAAAACGTCTTTCATTTAAAACCCCCCTAAATAGGTCTATCTATTTTTTATTAGGAAGGTACACAGACATCAGAACCTATATTCAACGTTGCTTGGGTCAGTCCATTACTCCTCATATACAACGTTGCAAGAAGAGAAAACTACCATGCTAACGCTTATTGTATTATTTAGCTGAACGAGGACATCCCGTTTTCCAGATATAATTTGCTTGGCACTGATTTGATCCATAACATTAGCTTGTTAACTGTTAAAAAAAAAATGCTTGCATATCTGTTGTAATTTGGCATCGTTTCGTCTGTGGCTTGTTTTAGCCGTCATCACTGAAAGCTGTCTGAGTTGCTCACGAAAATACTTGTTGTGAATTTAAGGTAAACTTGAACTAATTAAAGGATCCGTAGCACATACTTATTATTATTAAATAAAATTAATTAATAATTATGACTCCCAAAGTCACCAGAACTGAATGTTTTGGTGTTTTTGCAACAACAAAAATATTCCTAGAGCCCCCAAGACATTTATTAAAATGCTTTATTAAAATGTATGTGGGTCCTGTGCGCCAGTGAGGATCAAACGCCCCTGACTCAAACAAAAGTTCAAAAGTTTAACACATCGAAGCTCAACTGAGAAAACTTTCTGAACACTGTGGGTAACAACACTGTCCCGACACTAAAGGGCAAGTTCTTCAGAAGTCACAAGTTTGCAAAAGTAAACACTTCCTGCCAACGCTTACATGCTGACGGGCCACAGAAACAGGTCTGCTACCTACATTACCAGACCACAAAACACAAGAAGATGTTTAGTAAGCACAGCGTAGATGAAAGAACAGACACATTTGTGGCAGAAACGGACGTTAAGTAAAAATATGATTGTGCAAGACTTATGAGCGGCATGCTGTTTTAGAGGGCATTCGTAGAATTTTAAAACTTATAATATTATGCTAAATTAAACACAAACATTTTGTATTTCACTCTAGTTTTCAGTAAAAGTGTTTTAGAAAAAAATGTTTTTAGTTATAGTTAGCTAAATCAGTTTGAGGTTGATTTCTGAGCTCTTCTTTTCTGTTCAGCTCTTCTGGATGTGATGTCATAAACCAGAACAGCAACAGTAGCCACGCCCACCAGAGCAGAGAGGACCAATTGGATCACAGCTTTAGTTGAATCACAACAGCAGACACATTCTGATGGGGACAAAAAGAACAGAAAATATCAATATATCAAATTATTTGACAGTATGCTGCTGATGTTCTGTTGAAGTGATGGTTTGATGCTACCTGCACATGTGTGGCAGAGTGTGTTGATGTCCAGATGTGTGGTCTGGTTGCTGATGGGATTGTTCAGCACACAGCTGTAGGGGTTTTTATCCTGATATTCCACCTCCAGAGGTAGAGAGAGACTGATGCTGAGATCACACACACTGATGCTGGACAATACACTCATTCCTGCGTACCAGGAGAGAGTCGCATCCCTCACATTCACCACTGAACACAACAGCACACATTTGGATACCGATGATCCTGATGAGGATGAAGGATTTTGAGGACAGTAACTAGCGATGGCAGGAATGGGAAGATGAGCTTGAAAACATTAGAGAAATATGAATAAAGAGTTTGTCATGTCAATCATTTTTAAACAACCTCTACCTATAAGTAGGCCTACTCACCAATGACAGTAACATTGAACGTTTTCTTTGAAACTTTATGTCCGATCATATGTGCTTTATAAAGCCCAGAGTCTGTGGTTCTGATGTTTGTGATGGTCAGAGATCCAGTCTGATGATCCAGCTTCAGTCTATCCCCGAATCTCTCATTATTTTCAGAGATGACTTGGGAGGATATGTTGAGTTTAGTGATGCAATAGTCTCCGCACATCCACATTATCAGATCGTCCTCTTGTATTTTGTTCACACCAGTCTGTAGGTGGAGAGAATCTCCCTCCATCACTGACACCGACTCGATTTCATCTGTCTCAACACCAAACACACCTGAAACATGCAGGGGCCACTTTCTCAATCACAGTCTAAAGTACTGAAGTAACTTTCTGTTGGATCATTAGTTTCAGTTAAAATTGCTATAGCATTAATAAAAGTCATTCTATTTTTGTGGAAGCTTGTTTTAGCCACAAAATAATAATAAAAAAGTTCATAGGGACTTTATATTTTGCAATTATGACTTTATTTCTTGTAATTGTGAGTTTATATCTTGCAATCCCGATGTAAAACTGGTGAAAACAAGCACCAGAGTTGGGACCACCGGACTTGGAAGCGCTGAGACCACCGGACTTGGAAGCGCTGAGACCACCAGACTTGGAAGCACTGAGACCACCGGACTCGGAAGCGCTGAGACCACCGGACTTGGAAGCGCTGAGACCACCAGAGTTGGGGCCATCGGACTTGGAAGCGCTGAGACCACCAGAGTTGGGACCACCGGGCTTGGAAGCACTGAGACCACCGGACTTGGAAGCACTGAGACCACCGGACTTGGACGCGCTGAGACCACCGGACTTGGAAGCACTGAGACCAATGGACTTGGAAGCACTGAGACCATCGGACTTGGAAGCGCTGAGACCACCGGACTTGGAAGCGCTGAGACCACCGGACTTGGAAGCGCTGAGACCACCGGACTTGGAAGCGCTGAGACCACCGGACTTGGAAGCACTGAGACCACCGGACTCGGAAGCGCTGAGACCACCGGACTTGGAAGCGCTGAGACCACCAGAGTTGGGGCCATCGGACTTGGAAGCGCTGAGACCACCAGAGTTGGGACCACCGGGCTTGGAAGCACTGAGACCACCGGACTTGGAAGCACTGAGACCACCGGACTTGGACGCGCTGAGACCACCGGACTTGGAAGCACTGAGACCATCGGACTTGGAAGCGCTGAGACCACCGGACTTGGAAGCGCTGAGACCACCGGACTTGGAAGCGCTGAGACCACCGGACTTGGAAGCGCTGAGACCACCGGACTTGGAAGCGCTGAGACCACCGGACTTGGAAGCGCTGAGACCACCGGACTTGGAAGCGCTGAGACCACCGGACTTGGAAGCACTGAGACCACCGGACTTGGAAGCGCTGAGACCACCGGACTTGGAAGCGCTGAGACCACCGGACTTGGAAGCGCTGAGACCACCGGACTTGGAAGCGCTGAGACCACCGGACTTGGCTGAGACCACCGGACTCGGAAGCGCTGAGACCACCGGACTTGGAAACGCTGAGACCACCGACTTGAAAGCGCTGAGACCACCGGACTTGGCTGAGACCACCGGACTTGGAAGCACTGAGACCACCAGAGTTGGGACCACGGGACTTGGAAGCGCTGAGACCACCAGAGTTGGGACCACTGGACTTTGGACCACTGAACTTGGAAGCACCGAGACCACTGGACTTGGGACCTACAGACTTGAGATCACCGGACTCAAGACCGCCTGAACTGGAAGTGCTGAAAGCAATGGACTTAGGACCACAGGACTTGGAAGAGTTTAGACTGTTGGACTGGAAGCGCTGAGGCTGCCAGGCTTGGGACCGGGCTTGGAAGTTTTGTAGCTTCCTCCTGGAAGAGTTGAATTTAGGGGCTCCTGTTACCTTGCCAGAGGAACAGAAGTTTCTCTGCTGGATCCATTGTGATTTATTCAGAGAGTAAGATCTAAATGCAGTTTTATTTAAGCAAACAACAATCCAATCACAAGGAGCAGAAACCAGGAATCATAGGAGCAGAACTGAGGACACCAACGACACATCCAACAACGGACAAGATCCGATCAAGAACACAGGAAACACTGGGGTTTATAGACACAAGGGGCAACGGGTAAACAAAACACACTTGGGAACTAATAAAAAGTAAAACTACAAAATGGCACTAGAAACAGAAAAAAGGAAAAGAACCAGGCAGAATACAACCTAAAAATCCAAGTAACAGAAACACATACACAAACCGGAGAACATGTAACATCCGGGTTTATAACTCGCAATCCTGACTTTATTTTATCACAATTCTGAGTTTAGATATAAAGCCAGAATTGCCTGCTTCCATAAATTTGACACTAATTTAAAAGTTGTGACCCACCAAATGATGTGACCCTTTAGGCACTGTGGTGACAGTAGGGTTGGGATTAGGATTAGGATTGGGATCAGGTTGGACTAGTTCAATACAGCGCCTAGGGTCACAGAATTCGGCACATCACCGACAAAATGTCAGAAGTGGCGATACGCGATAAAAGTAAAGGTACGCTAAAGATTAAAATCTAGAAGTGCTGGTACTGTGTACCGGTGCGTACCGGCCCACTTCGAGCACTGTCTCAAATCTCAAATGCAAATAAAGTCTCAAATACACACATACTGTAAACCACTGCACTGTTTTTAAACTGTCTCAGTAATCACAGATTGAGAAGATTGTCATTTAGGACAAAGCTAGAACGACAACCAAAAGCAAGAGCATCACTAAAAATAACTAAGGTGTTAATTTACATTCAGAAATAACATTTTGATAACTTAAAGGGAATGTTTTTAGAGCATATTTGTGACGCACCTGAATACCCTTAGACAACTGTTGTAAGGAAATATAAACCTTTTAGTAGTTTTCAACAGTAGGCCTTTTACACCATTACAAAACTGCATGAAGTGAAAAGCTAAAAACACATTTTAACTTACCAACGAGATGCCAGAAGCACAAACAAAAGAAAACAAACCCGTGAAGCATTGTTATCAGCAGTTGGCTGTCCGTTCTGAGAAACAACACTTGAAATGTGACCAAGTGTGAATCCCCCCCCTTTAACACTTTTCCACCTCCCGCCCCGTGTTTATGCGCTAACTGTGATTGGGTTTCTTCTACTTGCATATGTTTTACCTATTCTAGTACTATTTAGCTGTTGGTAAAAAAATATTATTTTTCTTGATTAGTATGACAACCTACCATGTTATGGTGTATATGTCAAACTTGCTGATATTGCTATAGAAAGAAGATATTTCCCTATATTTTACATTATAAACTGTGACTAAAGTGCAAGTTCTCATAATGGTTACATTTGTTTGTAACTTTGTATAATAGTTAAAAATCATTGGTAAATGGTGCTGATAATTTTAAATGGCCTATTATTGTTGATGGATTCACTACTTTTACAGTTAACCTAATTCTGTAACAGGAAAACAGTCTGTGATGTAAATGTATTCAGGACAGGAAGAAGCACGTTCAACCACACGGGACATTCAATAGACACTTGCACAACATATTTGACCTAACAACATAACAAAACCACATGTCTCTTTGTTGAGCAAAATAAATGAGACCACAGCAGGTTTCAATTTGACTCGCAGGTCACTAAAACACCAAGGTCTTCTGTGATAGTGGATTTTTAATATATTAAACCAAAACTACCAATACTATTTGTGTTGTTATTATAGCTAGCATCAACTAATTCCAAAATAAGACCTTATTTTTTATTGGAACATGTCAGTTTGATTTGGGGTCAATTTGATTTCATGGTGCCATGTATGCAGGAACAAGTCTTAGTAACGCCACTGTTTCCCCAAGTGGACACCAGGTGGAACTGCAGTACAGTAAAATAAATAAGGAAATAAATCATATGCCAGGGGTGTCCAAACTCGGTCCTGAGGGCCAGTGTCCTGCAGAGTTCAGCTCCAACGTGCTTTAACACAACTCCATCACCTGCCTGGACGTTTAGACCTCGATTAGCTGGTTCAGGTGTGTTTGTATTGGTTGGAGCTGAACTCAAGTCAGTGGCCCTCCAGGTGCATGAAACCCCTGTCCGATGCCTTCTGCTTTCTAAAGAAAATGACAGCAGAAATTATGTTAATCTACATCAGTTTCGTGTGTTCTTATGATAAAAGTATCACCCCCCCCCCCCATAAATGTCAGTTATCGCATTTTTTTTTTATCAGTGCTAAGTCGTCACGTCAGTTTGAAATGTACTTTTATACAATTAATTATAATTAATGTTTATACATTATTTATGTAGCCATACAGAAACTTTGTCTTTCAAAAAACATCCTAAATATTCAATAGAGTTCAGAGCGACTGAGTGAGGATTTTCTTACAGCACACACTCATACATGAACACATGAACTTCATCTCCAGAGCTGCTCTGAGAGTCACTATCGTCAGATACACACAGAAACGCCAAGCTCTTCACGACAACCCGCCAAAATAAAAGTTCTGTTTAACTTGAATAAATTATGACAAATATATTTGTATTGCACAGTAGAATGTACTTTTCAAAGTAATAACAATACAATTTTAAAAAAGGAAAAATCAAACAAGTTTTTCATTTTAAGTTTACCAATTTGAAAGAAAACCTCTGCGTTCAGCACTTTGCCATAAAAAATATATGAATTTTTACAATTATATTTTAAAATATTAAAATCTTTAAGTTTTATAAAATAATTTTACCTCCACAGTCTTTCATAACAAATTTGTATTTTTGCATCATTATTTTGACATCACAATGTTTTCATTTTCTATGTACTCCTGACATTAACATAAGCCACTATAAACCAATATAAAGGCCCAATCATAAATTATTCTGTGCTAGAGATTTTTTGGTCATAATGCCCAGCACATCTTAAAGAGTTAGTTCACCTAAAAAATTTAATTTCTGTCATTAATTGCTCTCCCTCGTGTCGTTACAAACCCGCAAGACTTTCGTTCATCTTCGGAACACAAATAAAGATATTTTTAATGAAATCTGAGAGATTTCTGTCCATCCATTGACACTTTCAAGCCCCAGAAAGCTAGTAAAGACACCACTAAAGTAATCAATGTGACTCCAGTGGTTTAACCTCAGCTTTATGAAGCGGTACAAGCATAATTTACCACTTTATATATTACAACTTTTTTTTTGCAACTGTTTTACATTTATGTATTTTGATAAACACCCGTTATGAGAGAATCAGATCTGTTTGATGGCATTTATTATTAAATGCATATAAAGTATATTTTTGGCGCAGCTTTGCAAATCACTGATGCTTACCAATAATTTCCATTGGTTCATAACTCGAAAATTTTCAATTTACGATGTGGCTATCTGGTGGCCAAAAAGATTAATTTCTTCATTTTTCCCTTTATTCTGTACTGGAATCTATTTTGTATTTTTTGTCAGTTAAAGTTTTCTTTATGTTTTTATGGTTCTTAATTTTAGACTGTTTTAATTGTACTTTGGTACAATAGGCTTAGGGCTAGGGTTAGGCTTTGGTAATATAAATCCAAAAATATTTGTCTTGTCAATAAAGCATCTTAAAATGGAAACTGAATAGCACATACTAAATTAATTTCAGTTCAGTTCAGTTTATTTATATGGAGCACATTTAAAAACAGCCACTGGCCGACCAAAGTGTTGTACACATAAAATGAATGAATAAGTGCTGTACATATATTAATTAGGCCTATATATAGGCATGCCCCGGGCAGAGGATATACAGAGGCACACTCAGACAGGTCTAAATCTCAATGAATAAATGAACCAGTTAAACTCTCTCTTCTTCAAACTAACTGTGCACACCACAGCATAGAGCGCCATCTATTGTCCAAAATAAAAGTCCAACCACTTGCACTGAAAGGGATTGTTCAGCCTGAAGTGAAAATTAAGTCATATATTACTCACCCTTGTGTTGTTCTAATGCTGTGTTCTTTCTTATGGACTTTAAAAAAAATCTCCCACTCACGCTCGTCCATAATGCCAGTGAATAGTGATCAATATCAAGTTTTTTTTTTTTTTTTTAAGATTCAAAAGTATCACAGAATGATCCCATGCGACACATGTTGTATATCCCAAGTGTTCTGGGGGTATGATAGGGTATACTTTGCTCAAATAATGACCATTAATAGCATTTAAACAGTTGATTTGCACACGGACAGTGTAAAGAATGGACGGCTCATCACACAAACGGTCATTGAGGGCAATAAGAGTGCAACAGTGACAGAGCAATTTTTCCCATTCATTTCCTCCATAAGGACTTCATAAAGAAAAATAAAAAAATTTCTAAACCAGCTCCAAGATGAACCACAACATGGTTGAGATTAATCCGCTGATCCTTTTTTTGTGCACAATGTGTTACTAAAATCCTTCATATTATCTGATATTATCATTAATCATTGCTTTTTATTTTATGTATATGTTTTTGTATGTAATTCCTTGACGATGTTCTTATGTTATTGAGCATTAAAAAAAATTATGCATTATGCACAGACATACACAACACAACATTAGAGACGTGGTTTCAGAGAGAGTGTGTGTGTTTGGAGAAGGGGGCGTGGCCTAATCAAGTCTGGAGGAAGTTAGCAAATAGTTCACACATCTTCACTGCAGACGCTCACAAGTTTTCAGACTTGACTGGAACTATTTCAGACCACTGAACTGTTGAAGAAAATGTTTCAAACATTTGCTTTTTGTTGTTTGTGCTGTTGCTGTCTGATTGGTAAGTTTATGTTGTTTTAACAGTTGCATGTTATTTGTGTGGAGCTCTAATGAACTTTAGTTGCATTAATAAATTATTAAATTAAACACAATTTGTACATTTAATTTTTCTTAATGTATGTTTTGTTTCTATTTTAATTTCCTTTCATAAATGTATGCAGCAACTCCACAAATACAAATGTAAAAATATTTGTCACACCAATAAATCACTGTAGTTTAACTGAACATTACTACCTATTGAACTGATATAAAGAATTATAAATATGCCTATATTATAACTGAAGGGGAGTCATAATAAGAATAAACTATGAATTCAGATTCAGATTGAATGACGGTTGTATAAAAACACATTTAAAGCATTACAGTTAAAAAAACAAAAAAACACAGTGTAAATGTGACAGGGAATACAGTGGAGACCAAGTTTTCAGCAGACTTAATTCTGGATATATCTTTCCTTTTTTTTCCTCCATAAGGATTTCACTAAAATAGTTATATAAGCCATTAACCAAACAACCAACCTTCAATATTAATCACAGCAGTACAGGTTTGGTCTAAAGAAAAAGAAAAAGTATTTTTTCAATATTAACATATAGTATAATAGTAGTACATTTATCTCTCACATGTGTCCCATAACATTGTCTTGCAAAATAACTTCTACATGCTGCAACAGAGTGATAACTGGCTGTTCTTCTGGTCAATGATGTTCAATAACAGAGCAGATAACATTGAATTTGTCCAGTTATTTTGCATCTGTTTTATTTCGTCTACTGTAAGTCTATTAGTCTACTAGACTATTCTGGAACGATTTAGAAATCTATATTAATGATATTCATGATAGAAATGTGTGCATTTGACGTGTTTAATGTATTTTTCCCCTCTTTCTGGCAGCTAATGTAAATAATGTGATTATCTTGTGGCATTGAATTAAAAAAAATCCATCCGATTTAATAAATATTGTGAGTTTTAATCTATAATAGTGATTTACATGTATGATTTGTAGATAGGTTTGTCTCCAAAGTGACTGTATGGTGTATGTTGTGTCCATCTGGTGGCCAAAACTAGAATTTTAATCAATATTTCATTTAATTGCCATCCATTTTATATTTCTTCGCCAGTTACACAGTTTCTTATTTTACGTTTCGTTGGTTTGCACATTGTAGCAATTCATAATGCACATAATGTAGAATCTGCACATAATGTAATAAGTATTATATTATTATTGTAAAAAAAATGCTCATTATGTAGCCTAATAATTTTCTCAAAACGTAATAAAATCTTGAGCTCATAATGTAAACACAATTATTACTTTATGAGAAATGTATTGCATTA